AAACACGCACTCCGCGTTGTCCGGTGTCATCCTCACTTTCCGCTCCTTTGGAGCTCCGATGTTATCTACAAGATCCGACGAAGAAATGCTAACCCCGCAGTCTTCGTCCAGTAGATAACGTGCCACTCTACGCGCATTTGAAGGGCCGTGCCCAAGATGTCTCGGACTCTATCCGACCATGTCACGCATGACATGCAGCGAGTGCTTTGATACTTGAGCAGCGCTCAGTAGTTTACGTGCCACCTCACGTGCATCACGGGGGGCTCGCTCTCGATGCCTCGGCCCTTGGCAGACCATGTCACGCATGACATGCAGCGACTGCTCCAAAACTTGAGCAGCGCTCAGTGGGTAACGTGCCACTCCACGATCAGCCCGCGAGCAACGCTCGGAACTCCTGTCGAATACACCGTTGGTGTCCACCAACTCGGACATTCCAATGTCTAGCGCATTGACCGTCTCGGTCCAGTGCTCTCGCCAATAGCGCTTTTGTATCCTAGCTGAGGTGGGTTCATGACTCGCCAAAGCTCCACCATGCGACGTGCGCGTAGCGCCCAAGGTCTTTGTCCTCCAATCAATTCATGGCTTATGGTGTTCCAACCATGCAATTCCTAGGATGAGGTCATACCTTGTATCCAAGTCTAAAACTAGACAGCGTTCCACGCTATCAAAGTCAAGGAAATTGATTCTGAGGTCCACAGGGACCTTCGGGACCGTGACACGCTTCCTCGTCGCTAGGCGAACAGTGATGATGTACCCCAACCGCGCTTTCAGCGCATCAACACACAGCTGACTTTCCTCCATCATAGAGCGTCGAGCATAATTGCCCGACACCCCAGATCCAGTGAGGATCTTCCATGGCTTCTCGAAGTCTTTACGGTCGCCTCCACGACCAGCAAGCCCGGCTTGCACACACACGCTCCGTGTTCAAGAGCACGGAGCTCTTCGGGGCTGGGCCCTGCTGACCTATGCCTTGCTGAGGCTCAACAGAACTCAGGTCTTCCCCAGTAGGTCGCCCCGCGCTTACTGAGTGGTGCCGTTTCTCCGCGACGAACCAGAATGGTAGGCGTTGGGGCGATGGTTCGAAGAAATTTGACGCGCCTCGCGCAGGGGGCAACCGTTCCGAAGGTGACGAGTGTCTCCACAAACAATACACCGTCGAATGTGTATTCTGCCCGGCAGCTCGGAGCTCTGCTCCCTCGTCCTTAGCATAGCTGAGATCCATGAACACAGGCTCGCTCGAGGAGCAGCTGGAGTGTGCATTCCAACCAAGTCGTGCCGACTTGAAATCGATTTCGGCATTCAATGCCACATTCACCGCCTCTTCAAATGAGGACAGATGCACACGGAAGACGTCCATGCTGGCCACGCCAGCGCGGAGGCCTTCCATAAAGACGGTCACTGTGACCGCCTTCGGGAGGCGGTCTGCTGCCATCCGGGCAATTAGAGTGCGCATCACTCGGACAAGTCCACCAAATTATTGTTGCCCTGTCGGGTGGAATGGAAGCGCTTTCGTACACGATATGCCTGATTAGGCGGCGAGAACACCCATGAGAGCTGCATTTTCAGCTCCGCCCAGGAGGGAATCGCAGCTTCGACCGAAGTGCGGCACGTCAGTGCCCATTCTCGCGCTCGACCACCGAGCTTTGAGATGGCTAGCGCTACGCGCTGTTGCTCGGTCTGGAGCATGGCGGAAGCGATGGCCATCTCGACCTCTCTCAGCCAGAGCAGGAAATTCTCTCCATCCTTCCCCCCGAAGACCTTAACGCTCATCATGAGCGGCTTAAGGCGAAGAAAATCATGCTACACCGACGTTGGCGTCACAGACGCAAATGATGCAGAAATCTTCTGCTGTAGGTGCTCTAGCAGCGTGTTTTTAAAACGCCTCTAGACGCGCTCCAATTGCCTCGGGACCTTGCGTTACGAGGTGTTGCATGCTCTCAGGGCCAAGCAAGGACATCAGCTTGTTAAGCCCGTCCTGCATGTCCTGGGGCAAA